TTATTTTGGAGGGTTAATAATTACTGATACAATTTTTAATAGATTCAAATTGTTTCCTCTTGTGTGCATTTGGCAGATTGTGTTTTCAGGACATTGGTTCATTTCCTCCAGGTTATTAAATTAGTGGACCTTTAATTGTTCATAGCATTTCTTAATAAAGAGAAGTCTGAGAATGGAGCCTTTCAGGAAGCTGCCAGACAGATGCAATAGTGACCCTTCTCTGCTGATGGGACCTTTAGGGAACTCCAGTCCCATTCTGCTCCCCCCACACCACCAGTGATTACAGGCCTTCTGTTTTTCACAGCCATCAAAGGTGTGAGATTGTTGGTTTTCAAGGGTATTACAGGGATGGTGAGAGGGAGGTAGAAATAGGGCAAGTTAAAATGCCACAAGCTGACATTACCAAGATTCACAGGTTTTCCTTGAATAAGGTTTCTTAGTTACTCGCAAGACTTGGGTTAATTTTTCAGAGTTGTGGAAAAGTTGGTTTTTACCATTTTTGACAGTGTTCTCATTGCTTTTATGGAGGAAAGGATTTTCAGAGGTCTCTGGCACACTAGAAGTTCTTCTTCATCAATATAATTTTAAGACTCTATCACCTAATGATTTAACTAGCTATTCTTTCAATTTTATTGAAGCAAAGAATTGGTAATACCCTGACCCGCAAAAAGATCTGTCGCACCAGCATTCGGATCATTTGCTTTCTTAGTTATGCAGAATTATACCAAAAAGTCTTTACCAAATCCTAGGTGCAGAATTTTAATTTTTATTCTTTCTCTTTCATTTATAGGTACCTTGTTTACCTCAATCTAATCACCAAAGTTTGAGAAAATCAAAATAGTTGCTAAAAAGATAGCTCCTTCACTTCTTTATAGAGAGAGTAAATCTCTATAAGACACACTCTTCGTCATTATTTACATGTTTTTAAATTCATCAAAGAAGAATTAGTCATATGTATTTGGCTTTCACACTTAAATCCTCAGTTCTGAGCATCAAAGGATTCCCTTCCCATACTCCCTCCCTCCATTCTTTCAACCCAGTTGGGGTCAGTGACATAATTTGCAGCTCCTAGTGAGAAATGAAAATGTGGAGCTCCTTGTCCAACATATAGGGAGAACATGCAGTTAATGGTGCTGAAAATAAAGATTTTCCCTTGTAAAGTACTTTATTACTTACAAGACATAAAAGGGTAATAGTTATACAGGAGTAACATTTATGTTATAACACATAATGTTACACATTGCAAAAAAACAATATTTGGTGTCATAGTTTTGTATCATACAATAAACAATGACACTTTATTATATGAGTATAGTAATGTCTTGATTGATCATGGAATTTTTTTATGGTTTACTTTTCTGCAACTGTATTTATTAGGCCATCAAAAACTTTTTATTTCAGCAGTTTTGCTTTCGACTGATATATTTGAAAGTAACATCAGTTGCTCTTGACAAATGCAGGATCACAAATACTTTTTGATAATTTTTAATTTTGCTTTCTTTTATTTTATTTAATAATTTTATTTAGTTATTTTTCAAGTACAGTTTTTTGTCTATTTCTCCCATCCCAGCTCTCCACCCCCCGCCCCGTGCTCCCCACCTCCCTCCCATTTCCACCCCCTTTAAGTTCTCATCCCTGTGTCCTTCATATTTGTTCCTCCAAATCCCTCCCCTTTTTCCCCCTTAAATTCCCTTCCCTTTCCCCTCTGGTCACTGTCCCCTTGTTCTCTATTTGATAATTTTTAATTCTGAGAAGGATCTCTCTGCTGATGCTAAGAGTTTTATAGGCTGTAACAGCATCAGGGTAAATTTCTGATAAGTTGAATTATAAATTTTAGTACCTCTAGAGCTCATGATTCTTGCAGAATAGTTTTTTTAAAATTACTTAACTTTTTGCAAATCAGTTTTTGTAACTGAGTTTAAGTTTATTTTAAATGTTAATAAATGTATATAATGGCATTTTAATGTTTCCTCTGACATTGCCTGTAGCTTGCATTGGTTGTACAAGTTGAAAGTTGTTTCATGATTATTTGTATATAATTTAGAATGCCTGTATATGAATTCTAATAGTGAGCCCTCCATATCCATGGGTTTTGCATCTGTGGATTTAACCAACCATGGATCAAAAATAATTCTAAAAAATGTAAAGTTGCTATGTACTATGTAGGCCTGTAATGGTTGCACCTGTACCAACCATGCACAGATATTTTTGTTATTATTCTGTAAACAAGCAGTAACAACTATTTAATAATATTTACATTGAATCGGGTATTATAAGTAATCTAGAGGTTAAAGTATATGGGAGGATGTACATAGGTTACATGTAAATACTATGCCATTTTATTAAAGGAACTTGAGCATACACAGGTTTTGGTATTCATAGGAGATCCTGGAACCAATCCCCCATGGATACCAAAAGACAACTGTACCATGTCTTCAGTCACAAGGAAAAATAATCTTACATTTGTCTATTTGTTAATAATTGGTCCGTGCAAGTTTTTATATAAAAAGTGAGTTTTTTTCTGTGAAATGCAAGGATCCTTAAATTTAATTTCTATTTCTAAGCCTGTAGGTATTTGTTTTGCAATGTTGCAGTAGTTTTTAAAACCAGATTCTAAATTCTTTGAGGAATTTCAATAACTCTTGATGGCTTATCGTACTGTCCATGTGCACACTTTTATGTTGTAGTAAGTGACCGACAACGTTACTGCCTAAGTGGTGGCAGATCTGGCAGATCTGAGGCCAGAGAGTTCACATCTGTGCAGATGCTTCAGGGGTGGGCTCCAGGGACTGATAGGCAAGCCACCCTGCCCCCATGGGCTCCACTGCTGCCCCTGCATGGATACCTCCTTTCTCCCAGAGCCAGCTTCTGCTGCAGCTGCCTCCATTAATCTGGGTTCAAGTTCTGGTGCAGACAGTCCCCTCAGGGGACTGTGAGCCCTTGTACTAGTTGGTAGTATAGGGCTCACAACACAGCTTACGTTCTGGGAAGGGCATGGGTGGAGCATCCAGTCTCAACCAGGTGCCGAGCTGACTGACACTTCTCATGATAAATGATCAACTTGGCTATTGCGCCACCCTGTCTTGAGTGTATTTTAGTGTGAATTGGTTGCTGACAGTTAAGCTGTCAGATCAGAGTTCGGTATGTGTCCAAAACTGTCAAATTCAGGACCATAGAGGTAAAAGCAACACTGAGAACTTTCTAACTCTCTACCTGCCTCACATTAAACAAGACAGTCAGCATTATAAATAATAAACAAATCAAGTGTGTAGCATTAAATATTCAATACCAAGTGTCTTATTCAAAACACATGATATAATTAAGTTTGGTGAACTTTAATCTGGTTCTCCATGGCAAGTGGGAGAGCTATGACTATCGGGAAGTAATCCTGCCCTGTTTCACCTGGTCAGTATTTTAGAAGATGGACCGAGCTGGAGGAATTGTTGAAAGAGGGCGTCCAGCTCATTGGTCAAAGCCTTATGGCAGAGTATTTGGATCAGTCCTAGTTGACACCTGTTGCTGTGACAAAATCATTAAAAACACCCCTTCGCTCTCAAAAGAGTCCTGGTTTGTACAATAAATTCTACAGTAATCCTGTGGCCAGGGAGTGGCACCTTCATGTGCCCACCACTGTTTGCGACTTTGTAAAACCAGCAGCTCAGGGTGCTCAAGATACTGAGGCTGAGTCAGGATGGAAGGAAGCCAATTTATTCTCTAAAAATTACAGGAGACTTAGACAACACTGAGTTTTTAACTTACAAAAATGTAACTGACAGAGTAGAAATTAATGTACGTTTATTAGGGTGTTCTCTTCCTTGAAGGACACTTTCCTTGGAAAACTCAAAATCTTTGTAATTATTAAAATCATAATTCTTGTAGGTGAGGAGACTTAAGATGATCAGTGTTAGTTGGAGGAGCTGCTGTAATTTGCAAGATTTATTGCAATACTCAGCACCCATGCAAAGCATACCCTTTGTCCTACCAAGAGTTTTCCTTTACAATGAGGAAAGTGTCCTTGGTTCTTTTACCAGTGATATTGGGGTATGCATCAGGTACAGGTAAAGAACAGGGATGCACAGTTCCCACTAATCCTCTGTTTAAGTTTCCCCTCCCATTTGCAAGGCCTGTCAGGGCTGATGTCAGTGGCAGACCATGCCCTGTCACCTGAGGCTCAGCCAGGAGCAGCCTTCTCCACTCCTTCCTTGCAACATTGGAGGTTGCAGAGATCCTCAACATTCTTGAGTGAGCTTAGTGTGAATCACACCCCAGTTCTCAATACACAATAGAGACAATGGCCAGAAGAGGGTTAAAATCAGTTTTATTAAAGCATTGGAGAATACAGCTGGAATCTGCGGCCCAAGCGAAGCTTCTTTCCTCCTCTCAGCAGTGATGACAGCTGAGCCCACTGGGCAGGGCTCACCAGACTTACCCGCCCCATCAGACACTGAGGCTGGACTGTGGAGAGCAGAGTCCTGGCTGCGCCCACCACGGCAGCTCCTGCTGGGTCTGTTTACTGCATGGAGACTGGAAGCCCAAAAGCAGGTCCAAGAGAGAGAGAGAGAGAGAGAGAAAGAGAGAGAAGCAGGAGGACAAGTAAGCAGGGACTTTTGGCACATTATCTCCACCCAGAAGAGAAAGATGGCTCCAAGAATCTCAAATTCATCAACTGCAACAATCCCAAGGTTGCCCCAGGGGTGGAAACTTCTCCCCAGTACTTTCCTTCCAAGCTGGAGTGTGGTTAAGAGATTTTGCCCCTGATTGGCTGAGCAGCAAATGATAGGAATAAGGAAAGGGGTTCCTGCCAAGAAGCAAGGTTGGGTCAGGAACCTGGGCCATTCAATGAGTAAGCAGCCAAGGGCTATTTTGTGTGTGCCTTCCGGACTGCAGATACTAACCTAAAAAATGATACTGGCTAGAGCTGCTGGAGTTGGGACTCTAGGTCCATGGCACCTCCTGCCTGAACACTAACCAGTGAATTCCTTTTCTTGCCTGTACCCTAGAGCCTGGACCTCTGAGGACTGCTGAGTATGAACTTGACAGATTTCCCTCACCTCCCACACCCCAGTGGGTGAAATGGATGAAGGTCAAAAAGGTACAAATTTCCAGTTGTAAGTAAGTTCTAGGGATGTAATATGCGGCATGGTGACTACTGTTGACAATACTGTATTGCGTATTCAAAGTTGCTGAGAGAGTAGACCTTAAAAGTTCTCATCACCACAATAAAATTTGTAACTGTGAGGTGATGAATTTTTTCCTAAACTTTATCATTTTGCAATATATACAAATATCAAATCATTGTTGTATACCTAAAAACTAACACACTGTCATACATCAATTATATCTAAATAAAACTGAAAAACAAAAAAGAACTTGACAGATTTAAGAGGCCACCACAGTTGGGGTACAATTTGGCTGGACAGGAATGGTGTCCCTTTTGCTTCATTGAGAATAACACCCAGTGATTCAACTGTCAGGTGTGGAGTTGTCAGCTTTGTGACGGGCCATGCTGAAAGGAGGGGAAGACAGAATAGTGAGAGTCTTCCAGGCCCATGAACAGGCAGAAGAAGTTTAGCAGTAAGTTTTGCAGACCTGAGTCTGATGTAGGCTCTTTCTAGCACAGGAAGACACCCTTTTTTGGCCAGAAGTGATGACATACTGATTCCTAGCACTCTAAAATCCTTTCTCCTACCTGTCATGCAGAACATTCCTGTTTTTTTTTTTTTTATTTCTCCAGTTATCTTAATGCCATAGCTGTCTCTTATATTTGGGGGCATTTCCACTACCCTCAGTATTCCTGCTTTTAGCCAGGGTGGCTCCTGCAAAAGACTGCTTCCATCCGTGACCTGTGGTTATTTTTTTCATGCCAGCACCATGCAAAGGTGACACCATTTCATGGTCCTCCATGGCACCTTCCTGTACTTCCCAAGAGGCTACCTATAAAACTTTGCCTTGAATAAAACTAAATGATTGCAGAAATATTTTTCCCCAGAGTAATTTTATTAGGGATTTCTGCCACCATATTAACATAGAAAACAATCTGAATGTTGACATAGAAATGCAAATTTTGCTATACAAAGATAAGGCTCCAATCATATGGCCTCCATATCTCTAGTATTTCAATGAAATGAATTCATTTTGAATTCTTCCCAGAGTTGATTTTATAAATATTAAACAAGCCACAAAATATATTCCAAATACACATTTTACAGTATGTTCCAAGCATGAACAGAAACACAATATACTTTACCTACATTTTTTAATGATCTAACTTGCACTAGCACTAAAGACAAGATTGTGTGTGTATATGTATTTGCCATATATGTGTGGATATACGACTATAAACATACACAGTGATTTTTGTGGAAAATTGAAACCTTTGAGACTTTTTTTGACCAAGATATCTGAGAAAGAAAAGGAATAATGATATTAAATTCCTCAACTGGGGAAAAGTAAACATAACTGTATAAGAGCATATCAGTGGTGCATATACACACACATAATGCATATGTCAACATATATACCAGTAATATGGAATATACATATACTCACACACTTGCTTTGAGCTCTGTATCTCACTATATTATACGGCAGGGGACCAAAATCCCCAGCATTGCCTGTCTTCTAGGGAGTGGGTCCCTTGTAGGACAGGCTTCCCCTGCTAGGTGAGTGTTCTAGAAGCCCATCTGTATCAGTGTACCTTCTGGTGGTGTTGTGAGAGGCTGTATTCAGCTTCGGTGAATTTTTATTTTTTGAAGACTCTTTCAAACGCATTTGCCCACTTCGTGCTGGGTGATTTACCAGCACTCCTGCCCACAACATGCTGAGTATTCAGCAGTTTTCAAACCCAAAAGAGCACGACCCCCGTGCCCCACCCTCCCTATTTACCCGATCTCACCCCAAGCAACTTTTTTTTTTGTTTCCCTGGCTGAACAAAGTCCTCAAAAGGAAACATTTTGCCGATGTGGAAGAGGTGAAACAAAATAGCAGAAGCACTAAAATGCACCAAAATTGACAAGTTCAAAAACTGATTTGAGCAATGGAAAAAAAAGTCTCAGTAGGTGTTAGTGCGTCAAATGGAGAGTACTTTTGAAAGTGACTGAAGTTTAAACATGTAAGAATAAATATATAATTTTTATTTAAAAATTCTGGTTTTTTTAGGGTCCCCCCTCATATATTTTCCATCTTGGAAGCAGTTTTTCCCACTTCATTCAGGCAACTGGTGACTGCCTTCTACCAAACTTAGGTGGTATTTCTAAAAAGGCTTTTTATATCCTATCCTAAAAAATGGCATTTCAGGACCCCACTTTTACTTTTGGTGGCTATTGTTTAAATTCAGCAGACCCTATCCTATCAACTCCTTAACTTTAAAACATTTCCAGTCAATAGTCAAGTTTTTGCCAAAAAAAAAAAAAAAGATGTTAGCTGAAAATGTTAAAAATAATATATTGCCTCTTAATATAAGTCTGTGTGGTGGACTATGTATGATATTTACCCTATCAGTATTTTTCAAATGTTTTATGATGGGCATTACTTCCATAATTTAAAATATCTAATATTATTTTAAAAGAACGAAAGCTAGATGATTTGTCATTGTTAGAAACTGAAGCATAATTAGAAGGAGGACTAATTTATTTCAGACTACGCTGGAAGGCCCTTTCATCGGAAAGTATGACTTCCAAGTCATATGGAAAACAGGGGGAAAAAACCTTTAATTTCAAAGCTAGCCATTTGCAAAGTTCCAAAATAAACCATAGGAAATATATCTGTATATTATCAAGTTTCATGTATTAAAATTAAAATGCAAAACAAATTACTGAAAGCACATGAGAAAGCTCTACAAACTTAGTAGCAACTGTATATTATAGTTTGCTTAACTAAAGGCTAGATAACTGTTAAAACTCATTTTCAAAATTAAATGTCTAATAAAGCACTCAGAGCTTCATGAATAAGTAGGGCCAAAATGACCGTTTTGGAAATGATGCTCTTGTAGAGCTCAAGTGTCTGCTGGAGTCAGAGATTACAGGAAGCCCAATCTCTTTGTAAATGAAGGCAGTGGAACATTTCAATATGTGGAGAAGTCCCAAAGCTCCGTATGCTTACCTTTCTCATTCATACAACAGGACTGGTCAGGGTGCAGCATGGGAAGGCATCAGAGCCTTTCTGCCATGGGTTTAACGGTATGAAGATAGGCACTAGAGAACATTTCCCCCCTCCACTTCACCCAGGCTGAAATAGTGGATCAACTAGTGAGTCCACTCCTCATTCTTAACAAGAGTCCCAATTATGAATGAGTTAGATCTTGAGGAAACCAGGCAAGGAGAAATAATGTCCACCACAAAAGATCATTAGCTTTATCAAAAAGCCAAAATCCCTTCTCTTCATCTTCTGCCCCCACACATACATACACTTCCTTTGACGTTAAGCTCTTCCACAGAATCACAATCAATGGTATGAGGGACCATAAATGTGCCTTAAAGTTTCTCCACTTTTATTTAGATCCACTTAAACATATTCATGTCAATTTGGACAGCAAGTACACTGTTCTTTACATCATCCAACACCTTGTATCACCATCACTTCCATAAAATCAATCATTTTCCTACCACCCCTAGACTACCAGCCTCACCAAAACTTTTTTTGCTACTTGTCATTTGTCCATTTCCCATCTGCTTCCACTCTTGGGTTAAAGTACAATAACATGCAATTAACTGGCATATCTTTTCAAGTTCCACTCTCTTTTTAAAATGTTCTGCTTCCTCAGCCAAAATATTTAGGCGGGATGCAAATGAAAGTAACTAGTCATCTTGTCCAGATACTTTGAAAAAGGGACCACCCTGTGTCCACTTGATGCTCAGTTTCTACATCCTCCATTTCCATCACTTGTTTCAGGAGCTTACTTACCACAGTCTTTCTACCTATTTTCTAACTCATGAGTAGCTAACAACAAATTGTGGGATTTTTTTTTCAGCCAAAAATATTTTTTAAACAAACCAGTGCCAAACCATTAAAAAATTTCCAACATATCTTTTGTGCATTAGTCTTACAATCTGTACAATTAAATAACTCCAGGAGGGTTTTTTTTTTTTGCTAAAAATTTACCAAAATATTCTGAACACATAAAAATATTTTTAAAAAAACAAAAACCCAGCATAAATTTAGTTGTATAGGCATTGGTTAGAGGACATTGTTTTCACTAAGGATTATATTCAAAAGCTTTCTCTTGGATTATTACTAAAGTTCTGATTCTGAACCTTATAGCCTATAATGATGCTAACCATCTAAAAGGGGGAAACCTAATTCAGCTCAATGTATTATGATATAATAGAAATGTATTATAATAAAGACTATGCCATGATATAATAAAAATAAACATTTTTGGTTATTTAAAGGCCATCTTCCTGACCTATAACTAAAATTACTGTATTTGATTTAAACTTATTTAAGTGTAGTGAATTATGGAAAGTTAACTTAAAGGTTTGAATAATCAGTTTTGAGCAAAGAACACCTGTTGATGGCTCCAGGACCATTCAGAACCAGGCATTTGCAGAAAAAAACAAATCACTAGTATTGAATATAGCCCTTAGTCATATGAGAGATGTACTTTAGGAGCAACCCAGCATGTAGAGAATGAGGTTTACTTTGCCAGCCACCCACTCCTTGAGAGGACAGTAATATTCATAGTGAAATTGCTCAAACTCTGGTGTCTGGCGGATTTCACATAAGAAGGAGAGATCAATACCTGACTCCAAAAGGAGGAGGAGCAGGGGGAATACAAAGAGCAGCAGGCCCAGACCCACCACAAAGAGCCTGGAAAAACTCTTGACCAGTGGGTTCACCCGAATATGGCCGCTCAGAATGTCATAGCTCCACGACAACGCTTGGTGAGCCTCCTTCAGCTCCTCTTCCTCTGCCATCAGGAAGGCATTTTCATCTGCTTCCAGTTCCTCAAATGAATCTGTGTCTTCTCTTTCCAACTCAGGCCGAGATGAACAGTCAAACAGCATGTCAATCTCATCATTGTCAACTGGGGTGGGGAGCAGACTAGCACTTGGGTTGTACGCCAGTTCAGAGATAGTCAAAGGCTCTTCTTTTATTTTATCTTCCTCCTCACTTGAGGGCTCTTCATACTCCCGGGCTTCCTTCACTGGTGAGCTGGAGATCAAGGGGGCAGAAATGCCATCTTCTTTGGGCAGAGGAATACCTGTAAAAGACATTTTTTTTTAAATTTCAGGTTTGGTTTTCTTTTTCCATGAAAATCTGTAGATGGAAACAAACCAGAAAAAAAAAGCACCTCAAGTGGCTGGCGATATTAATATTTATGTGTACAATTCTGACCTTCGACTTTGCTCATTTGAAAGAATAAAATGACAATAAATCACTATTATGTTATCATTTTAAGTGGTATCTTATAGAAGTAAACTCTATCAACCAAAGTATTATAGGAAAATTATAGACTATGCTATCCAATTATAATCACTTTATTATGTTATATATTATCTTCTTGTTTGTATTGCAAATATGTGCACATTTTAATTTGGACATTTATGTTGAAATAAACTCCCTTTTAGTACTTATAATGGTTGCTAAATTCTATTTAGTTAATACAATATTAGTTGCCTATTGGCAAACATTTAAATTGCTTCACAATTGTAAAAAAATTGCTGTAAGAGACATCTTTACATATAAATCTTTTTGTCCCTCTTATTTTTCAGTTCATTGGTCCAAAAGGAAAACAGCTTTGTCAGAAGATACGAATATTATTTCCTAAAGTTTACTGGGGGACACATGTCAGTTACCTACTACTGTCAGCCTAAGGCCAGCTCTCCTAATTTTGAGCTGTGGGTACTCAGTGAGAAATAAAAACAGGTTCAAAGTTGTGTTTTCCAGGATGATTCTATAATATAATATCAAATTGGTAATGATGTGCAATAGGTAATTGAATACATTTCAGAATTTCTCTCTTCAATCTGTGCAGGAAGTGACATCACCCACATGGCAACATACGTCATTCCTGCTTCACTTCCCCTCACAAGAACAATTCATGAACAAGGCACCACTGAGGAAATCCTGGAACACAGGAGGAAGGCTGAAGCACACCCTCCGCCACAAAGACCAAGACAGACTGCATTAGAAGGGTAAGATGAATGGCTCCATGCTGACTGCATTGCCCCCCCAGGCCAGCACAGCACCACACATAGAGGTGCCCCCTGAGCCTATGGTGACATCCATGCACCCCAGTATTGTGGGTCACTTTGTAGGAGCCCTTACTCTGGTTTCACCCCAATCTGGGATTGCAGAGGAATCTGATTGTGATGGAGAAAGGGAGAGAGGCTTCCAACAACCAGCACTTAGATCTTAGCAGACTGCATTCCTACCTGCAAAGCCCAGTTGGTGGCACATCTGACCAGGGAACTCAGTGGGGAACAGGTTTGCCTCATTTGGTTCTCAGACAAGGAACCTGAAATCCTGGAACCTGGTTTGAGCAGGTTGAAGAACTGAGTCATAACTCCACCCACACCTGCCAGGAGAGGCTGGTGAGAACAGCTGGAAACTGTGTTAGATAGCAGTGCTCAAGCTGAGAGGAGAGTAAGCAGAGGTGATAGTCCCTCAAAGCAAAACAGGTAGCCCTGTTAAACCAGGGACTTGGGTACAGGTCATATTGAGTGAAGACCACAAATGAAGAACCTTAGTGGCCCTGAAGCTGCTTCTCCCATTGCACCTAGGCAGGGAAACTCTTTCATGGACTCAGTCATTGCTGAATATAGCCTTCAGCCTGCCCAGCCAGGAAACTTTACCAGAGCACACTGGGAGCTGGCAGCTTTTCAAACAGTGCTGCTTACAGTGGCACTTGAACAGGGAACACAGCCTAAGGCTTTTCCTGTCTGCAGAGAAAAACTTTGGCCTCACCTGACCAGGAAATTCAGTGTACATCCAGTGTACACTCTCACCTGATTCTGTTCAACAGTGAGTGGGGCAGGCTCTGGATCTCATCTTGTAGCTTCACCAGGGCAGGAAAGCTAATTCACAGCCCCATCTACTGGTGAGTATAGACAGTCCTGACTGTCTAGTAAGCCTGAACAGAGAATACAGTCTCAGATTGGCAGAGAACCAAGGCCAGCAGTCCTATGCAGCTGTTCTCAACCAGGGGGACACATCCAGAAACCCAAACTGAGCTGACTGATGAAGAACTCTGTGCCAAAGCAAATCTGAAAATCTGGCAGAGAAGACCACTAATTCAAATACACAGATATCAACATAAGAATCAAGGACCACATAAAATCAGGTAAATGTGACACCACCAAAAAGAATTAATAAAGTACTAATAACTGACTCTAAATAAATGGAGATCTAGGACCTGTCAGACAAAGAATTCAGAATAATCCTTTTAAAGAAGTTCAGTGAACTACAAGAACACATAGGAAACTAAACAAAATTAGAAAAACAATGAATGAACAAAACAAGAAGTTCAACAAAGAAACAAAAAAAATTTTTTAAAAAACCCAAACAGAAAGCTTAGAGCTGAAAAATACAATAACTGAATCGCGGAACTCAATAAAGAGCTTCAAAAGCAGACTCAACCCTACAGAAGAATCAGCTACCTGGAAGACAGGACATTTGAAATTAACCAGGGAGAGGAGCAAAAAAGAAAAATAAATTAAAAAGTAAAATTATTCACATTATGGGAATTCCAGAAGAGAAAGAGGCAGAAGGTATATTTTTAAAAAAATAATGTCTTGTAACTTCCCAAATGTGGGGAGACAAATAGACATTCAGGTCCAAGAAGCCCAAAAGACCCCAAGTACATTGGACCCAAATGGAACTATGCTGACATATTATAATTGTCAAATATCAAAGGTTATATTGTCAACTGTCAAAGACAAAATTTTAAAGGCACTCAGAGAAAAGATAAATTGTATACAAGGGAACCCCCATAAGACTATTGGTATATACCTCAATAGAAACTTTTTAGGCCAAAAGAGAATGACATGACATGTTCAAAATATTTAGGAAAAAATTGTTAACCAAGAATACTATACCTTGCTAGGCTGTCCTTCAGAAATGGAAGATAAAGACTTTCTGGAACAAACAAAAACTGAAAAAATTCATTACTACTAGACCTGCCTTATAAGAAATGCTAAAGGAAGTTCATTGAATGGAAGTAAAAGGACACAAATTAATGTCGTAAAAATATAAGGTAGTGTAAAACTCACTGGTAATAGTAAAAAAGAGTCTGTAATGTAATTGTGGTGTGTAATTTGCTTAAATACAGTTTAAAAGTTAAAAAAGCAATTGCAAAAATAACCATAACTACAATAGTCTGTTATTAGTTACACAATATAAGAAATGGTAAATCAATATCCTAATCAATGAGCTAGAGGGGAATAAAAGTGTAAAGCTTAAGAATTATATTGAAGTTAAGTTGGTATTAAAATAAGGTATTATAATTTCAAGATATTTATGTAAACCTTATGGTAACTGCAAGGGACAAACTTGTAGTAATACACAAAGGAACATGATCAAGAAATCAAAGCATACTGGTACAACAAGACATCGAAACACATGAAGACAGCACGATAAGAAATAAGAATGGAGCTACAAAATAACCCCAAAGCAGTTAACAAAATAGTAAGCCCTTACTTATCAATAATTACCTCAAATGGATTAAATTCTCCAATCAAAAGACAGAATGAATGGCTGAATGAACAAAAAATAAGTTCATTGATAAGTTCATATCCAATGATATGTTGTGTACAAAAGACATACTTTATCCTTAAAGACACACAGAGGGAAAGGATGGGAAAAGATAATTCAAGTAAATGGTGACCAAAAATGGTAGGGGTAGCTATACTTGAATTAAAAATGGTAAAAAATTGATAAAGAAGATCATTATATAATAATAAGGGATCCATACATCAAGAAGATATAAATATTTATGTGTGTCAAAACTGTAGGGCTCATTAGCATAGCAGAGGTTGGTCAGATGATGCCAACATCTTCTTCTAGCCAGGTGCACACACACACACACAGAGTGAGAAGAGTTCTGCTGGATGAGTCCTCCAGCTTAAAGGAATCACTGCATATGAATATGTAAAAAAAAGTATTTTCCCCCTGGAAAAGAAATACATATATATACATTTATGTGCCCAATATCACAGCACCTGAATACACAAAGTAAAACCTAACAGAGCTACAAGGAGAAATAAACAGCACTCGAATAATTGAGGGGGCCGTCAGTCCCCCAGTCTCAACAATGAACAGATTGTCTACAGACAATAAGAAAGTGGATTTGAATAACACTAGACCAAATGGCCCTAAGAGACATTTACAGAACATTTTATCTGACAACAGCAGAACATATTCTTCTCAAGTTCACATGGAACATATTCTAGGATAGATTATATGTTAGGCCACAAAACAATTCTTAGCAAATTCAAGATGATTGAAATCAGTAACAGAAAGAAAACTGAAAAATTCACAAGTACAGATATTAAACAACACTAGATGTTACTAGCTTACCAAAGAACATTGGGTTACATTTGATCTATTATCAAGGAATATCATTTCATCAAGTAGATTAGTTTTCCAACAAGTCCACTATTAAGAGTGTACAAGGTGAATTATAGTTGGTTATCCATATTAACTTTCTTTACATGATAGATCCTCAAAGTTTCCTTCACACCTTTTCTGGTGAATTCTAACAAAAGCATTTAAGGAGACCAGAAATACAAAATTAGTAAGATTATCTGCACTGCTCTACTAAATTTATTTTACTTCAATCACATATGAGAAGCCTCATGAATATATTCACAAAGCTCAAAGGCTGAAAACTTTAAGAATTGAAATGACAGTGATTTAGGAAAAGGAAATAGCTTTCAAGGTTATCTAGTTTTACAGCCTAATTAGAATTAGATAATAGCTATAAAATTTCTGACACATAAACACTCAATAAACTATTATGGTTACATTTTGGTATAGTGGTATCACTATGTTTCTATATGATTAAAGTGAAATAGAATCAAAAGATACTGATGAAGAAGACTGCCCACTGAAGACAGATAGGCAGTGTACCTGCCACGTATATTCAGGCAGGTTGTGCATTCCAGCCAACACCATTCATGCAACCCCAGTGTGATGGAACTCCCTAATGACACTCCATGCACCACAACACAATCTACTCAGCAGGCTACAGGGAGATGCTGTTACTGAAAAAGTTGTTCTTCATCTCATGGCTAAAGGCATGATAAAAAGCTCTATCTTAGGATACAGAAAAATTAGTGGAGGTAAAAATGGAATAAGCATTGCTCACATTTACTTTCAGAAATCTGCCTATTAATTCCAAGCACATCTGTGACAAAATCCAAATACTGCAGCTGAAATTACCAGCACCCTGTGTCTAGAAAACAGGTAAAGAGACCAGCTAATGGTGCCTTATGTAGTTTTCCTCTGTACTACAATCTTTATGAATGAAGCAATGCAATATTGGGTATCATCAGAAAAAGTATGTCAAAATGAAGATAATAGTAACCCTAACTATCTCCTGAGATTGTGGAAAGGCTCAAAGTATATAACAAAGAAACATGTGAGGAAGCACTTTAGAGACAATATGGCAACATCAGAAGATAACAGATCACTGTCATCTGCATTTATCCACACTAACCTTAGCAAAGACTTTGGAGTTTGGGTTACTTGGGGTGGCTTTAAATTCACTTGGCAATGCCTTTCCTATTTGGAATCTGTCATTGCCATTGCTGTCATCTGGCTGGAACCAAACTGCCTTATTTTGTAGGAGATACTCCCTCAGCTATGCACTTTACTCCCTTTCCACCCCACCCCCACCATGGCCCCATGGTGCTTGTTCTGTGAACATCAGCCCTACCTCCATGCTGGAGGCTTTGTCAAATAACACCACTGGGAGCCACCATTCTTGTTTCCTTGGAGGTACTCCAAGTCGCCCTGTGCTGATACCCAACTATGGAATGTCCATCAAAGCCGCAGAGCTAGGGCAAAAGAACCAGGTCCCATCACCCAGCAGGCAGGAGGGTGTTTTGGAAAATCATAGAGGCTTTTCAGAGGTGTCAGTGAGTGGAGGGGCTAGTACCATTTAGGGGTGGGGATCAGGGTTGCCAGAC